TTTTTGAAATAAATGAGCCACTTATAGCTATAATCATTATCATCATTGTCATACACTATGGATTTTTCTTTAAAAAAAGAATAAAGTGTGAGAAAATATTTCATTCAAGAATAAAGAGAATACAAGAAACAAGAGAAAAAAAATATTAAAAAAATAGAAACAATTCTCCATTTAACAGCAAAAGACATCTTTATTTCCAAATGATAACAATGATGATGATGATAAAAAAAATAAAAGCTCAGTTAACCCAGTTAACAATAAACAATGACCATTATATTAGTCTACGGAAAAAAACCAAAAAACAAAACAAAACAAATCATCATTATGTTGAATATATGAAAATATCAAGAGTAAAATGCCATTCAAGGACAATGTCAAATAATAAAGAATAACGCAATGTAACAACTGAATATAGCAAGAATTTTTTTTTTTGGTCTGTCTCGATGTATATTTACCATTCAATAATATGGGAAGAAATGATTTTTTGTTTCCTTTCATATTTATATTCACCGAATAACAATAACAAACGATAATAAACACTATGAAAAGTTATGCAAAAAAAGTAATATAATAAAAGATTATTATGATGATTATGCAATTATATTCTATGTTTATGTATAAATTATTATGATGAGAGATGTTGTGATTTGCATATTATATTCACCCTTTAAACACACAAAAAACATCTATGTCAACAAGCAAAAATCAACATTAACATTATCATTAGATGATGATGATAATGATGATTGAATTTAGCCAAATAAAATGTATTTCATTGTTGTGTTTCACGTTTGTTTGTTCTATAATTTTTTTTCCACCGATTATTTTAATATTTATTATGTGATTTTTTTTCTTTTTGACCATTTCGGTTTTCCTCATTTCTGCTCAATTTCAGTTTATAGTCAGTTGGATTTTCACTCGAATGAACTGACGTTATTGTGTGTAAATGTGAGGAAAATTGAGTTTTAAAAAAAACGATTATGAACAATTGGAAACTCGAAATTCGAGTGAGTGGATAAGGGGAAAAAATCCTTTTTTTTTGTTTCTGGTCGATAGATCATCATTATTATCATCATCATAATCATCAACATCAGTTCAATGCGATTGATATAAATATATCGAATGATTCTTATTGAATCAACAACAACAAACGAAAAAAAAATCAAACAAACGATTTACAACCAAAAAAATTTCGTAATATACTATAAATGGTTTACATTGGTACAGACACACATGATACGAATGAATGATTTCTTTTACTTCTCTTTGCTTGAATTTTTATTATTATTATTATTCGCATTGTTTCTCCGGTTTTGTATTAGATAGATCATCTTTCGCATATGATAGTGAAAATAATTTTTCAAACAAAACAAAAAACGAGAAGAAAATTTCACATCACATCACATTGCTGCAGTTGTTGTTGATGATGTAACCAACGAAGAAAAAAAACGATTCTAAAGAGATACCCCAAGAGAAATCATCATCATCATCAACATCATAGTGATCATGATGGTCGTCATTGGCCATGATAAATCACAAACGGATGGAACGACAATGATGATTCTTTTTTTTCTGGTTTATTTTTGTATGTGGTTGGTGATTTGGACTGATGATGATGATCTTGTTGCCTAGTTTTTTTTTCAAACAAATATTTGGAACGTTGAATGGAACTATGTTTGTGTGGTATAAAATGAAATGAAAATTGATTTTAAGGGAAAATATAATGCCAACACACACTTGGAACATATACAGATATTTCGTACATTAACAATGATGATGATTATTATTATTATTATTATTTGTTGGTCGGTTCAGATTATCATTATTTTTGAAAAAAAAGGAAAAAATAAAACATAAAATTTTCAACATGGTTCAAACCATGATGGAACAAAAAAAAATACCGAAAATTGAGTTTGAGTTCCGAAACTACTTACTTGGTAGGGTTCACGACAACATTTTTATTGTTGTTGTTGAAAATTGTAACAACAACAACAACAGTTAAGAAAACCTCGAAACAAAATGAAATGAATGATGAATAATATAAACTAAATGTGATGACTATAAGAAAAAAAAATTTCCGAAACGAAAAAAATAGTTATCATACATTTATATATAGCCGAATCTTTTGAAGCGAAAACTTATTATTTTTGATCATCTCTACGAAAAATAAACGAAAAGAGAAATAAAATATAAGAAGAACAAAATATCCAAACAAAGATCATCAACTTTTTTTTGAACAACTAAGAAAAAAAAACTTTAAAGATTATTATTTAAGAAGAATGGCAATGTTTTCAAAAATATTTGTTATAGTTACCGATCCAAATTGATGATTTTTACATTGTAATAGTTGTGATCTTTGTTTTTCATTATTTCAATTGGATTGTGTTGATTGTTTCATTGTTTTGTTGTTGTTGTTGTTACATCTTCTTTTGATTGTAACTGGAAATCATCATCATCATAATAATAATTTTCAAAACAAAAAAACTTTTACTGATTGCTTGGCATCCGTTTTGATTATTACTCATTTTTTCAAGTGAAAATTGATTATTTTTTTTAATTTCTTTAAAAAATTTTCAATTTCCTTCAAGACAACCGAACGGAAAAACAACACACACACACATTTTGCTTTGCTTTGTTTTCTGTTGAAACGAATTAACTGGTTATTATTTTGGTTTGTGTGTGTGTGTGGGTGCTAAATTCAAAATCTTTTGCGGATTTTTTTTTGTTCCGTTTTCCTTTATTTTTTGACATTTTCGATATTTTTTTCAGTAAAATGTTGTTGTTTTTGTTTTGTTCGGCTGTCGAAAACACATCTGATGATCATCATCATGGATTTTTTTTTCTAGCCAGCTTTCGATGTTACCAAAAACAATTTTGGTTATTTTTTTCTCGTTTATTTCAATTTCTATGGGCGAATCCTTTTGTTTTTTTCCTGTATGTTTTCAAGTCTTGATTCTTCTGTTGTTTTTTGGGTGAAAAATTATATTTTTGTTTTATTCATCACAAACACACTTTATGTATAAGGCAAAATTGTGATGAAATTGATTTTCATTTAGCAATGTTTCAAAGCCTAATGTAATTTATATTCATGGTTTTTTTGTCTGTGTAAATGTTCTGTGTTCTTTACATAATAATGGCGCATCAATTTTTTTCTCTACGTTTATGAAAAAAAATTCTATTATGATCTATTTGTTTTTTGGTTTTTGCAAAATGTATTGCATTATTCTAAAACTATTCATTATTAGTTTTGAATATTTACACCATTAATATCATTATTTTGTCTGTGGTTTTAGTCATCATTTATCAGTTTTTCATGTTTAACAGATTAACTTGATTGAAAAAAAAATCTTCTTAATTGAATTTTTGAAATCAGAATTTCTATTTTATCATCGTCCACAACAAAAACTTTTTATTTATTCCTTATTTTTAGATTCAAATAAAATGTTTTTATTGTCCAATTTATTAATGGATCAGCATTGAGAAAAAAATAACGACAGAAATCGAAATTCAATGTTTCGATCGAAGATGATTTCAATTTTCTAGATTGTTTAATATCGAAAATAGCAAAAAAAAAACATATTTGTTATATTTGTTTCGAACAAATCGTCTCAATCGATAATAACAAGAAGAGAATTGAAGAATATTTGAAAAAAGAAAAAGAAATTATGTTCAAAAGAAAAAACAATCCAAATGGTCAAAATTTCATTTATAGATCCGAATACAAACAAAAAAAAAAGAGAAATGGCTATAGCTAAAAGTTTCAAAAGTTAAAACGAATGAATGAAATGAAAAAATAATTAAATAATCATAGCACAATGAAAATCGAACGACTTTTTTTGAATTTGTTTCGATTTGTCTTTCTGTTTCTTTTGGTCCTCAATGTCATGGTCATTGTTTTTTTTTTGATGGATATTTCCTTCAACGATTTAACAACCAACATAGATCTTAGCTATCGAAATTTTGCGATTGGAGACAACAATAACAAAACAGAGGAAATAAATGGGAAATAAAATTAAAACCAGAAAAAAATAAAAACAAGAGGGAAACATTGTTACTCGAAATAAAGAGGTTCAGAATTTTTTATTTTTATTCTTCTAATTTCTTCTCCAAACCATTACTGGTCCGGTTTTTTTGTCTTTCCCCTCGATTTTCTCTGTTTGTTCACATATATTAATTCATTTTGACATTTTACGCTATGATGATCATATGACCAAAATGTATGGATGAAATTTTTTTTTTGTATCTTTTTTTTTGAATGTCATACTATATATTCAGTACACTGACATGATACATTGTACATAGAATTTCATTGCAGAAAAAAAAACATGGATATATCAAATACTGACCAATTCAAGAACAATGAAATACCATAATAATGTCATAATACAAGGTTCAATTCTGTTGTTTTACTTTCTTGTTTTTTTTGGGTCTCGGTCAAAATAAAGATATATATTCTTATTTATAGCTATGTGGAGATTCTGGTCGTCGCCATTATATAAACAAGAAACCATGTTGAATAAATTTTTTATTTTGTTTTTGTTGTTCTTCCCTATCATTCTTTATTTGTGAACATGATAATGACAATCTAAAAACAAGAAAAGACATCACAGTTTTTGTTTTATTCATTGTTTTCATTAGTATTATTATTATTATTATTATTCTAATTCAGAATTCATTCACCAAATTCGGCCAACAATGCTGACAAACTCGATTCTATTGTTTTTCTTTCATTCCTTCATTCATCTTTTTTCTTTCTTTTTTTCCCATTTTCTCTTGAATTCATTTACTATTTTAGCAAAAATTTCTTGGTCCATTCATTTGGTTGTTTTCTTGTTGTTGTTATGAAAGTGATCTCATTAATTTCCACTTTTATCATATTTTTTTCTAATATAAAACAATGAAAACAAACATTTGACAATCGTACAAAATGTGAATGAACTCAACATCAAACAGTGAACAGAATCGAATGAAAAAAATTGAATATTCTTCGATTCAGTTATCTAATTTGAAAATTTTATTTATATGGTTTCAAGTATCAAAAAAATATTTTAATATTAAAATTTAAAATTATCATCACTTTTTTTATGCTGCACGTCGAAATGCTCCCAAATACGGTTCCATCTGTCGGAAATAGTAATTAATTTTTGGATTTAAATTTGACGATCGTTTTAATTCTTCGCATACACGTTCTTTAGTACGAAGACGATTTTCCAATTCATCGGCAAGTATTTCAATCGTGATGAATCCAAGTTGTTGTAATTGTTTGAGATCATCGATCGTACAACGGAAAAAATACAATGAATTTGGTAACGAACTAGCGTCTTTGATTACTTCATGTATTGATTCGGGACAATTTTGTAAATAATGACGAATAAATCCAATAACTTGAGCTTGAGTTGTGTTAAGGCTCTGTAAAAATTGATCGAAAAGTTCAACATCATTGATGATTTCATCACAGCTAAATGGTAGGTGATTCTCATATATTGATGAATGATCGGCAATAAATTTTGACCATTTCAATTTCAATGAATCAAGTTTGTTGTTCTTTATAAAACGATACACACTATTAAGGCTATCTATTTTCATCGATTGAATGATTTTTGGTTCAACAATACGTTCGGCAATTTTTTCACCCAAGAATTCTCGAGTCATTTGCAAAACAAACAATGAAACATCTAAATCATCAATCGAATCGAATGCAGTTGATCCGGAATAAAAATAACGGAGAAAAATTTTGAATGCAGCTACCAGTTCTTCATTTGGACATTGATTTTTTTGTTCGTTTATAACATCATCAATATTATCGTTATGGATTAAATCATTAATACTTTGAATCAATATGGGTTCATTTTCTATTATTTTTCCACCATCCAATCGTCTTTGAATCCATGCAGCAAATTCAGGACTACCCGATTCGATTAGTATACGATGACCGGGTAATAATGTACCGCATACTGAAAACAATACATCATGATTGGCCGTATTCAAATACCAGGATTCAAAATTTTTTATCGATTCACTCTTTTCAACATCTCGCTTTGTTGTTCCTATTTTTTAAAAAAACAATATTTTAATTATAATGATTTTAAAAATTTATCACTAACCTTGACAACCATTTGTTTGTGTTATCGATCGTGATTGAGTAACCGATTGTGTTTGCTGTTGTGGAACATATGATTGATATGGATATGTAAATTTGATTGATCGATGTGGTAGTTGTGAAAGATGTCGATTATGACCAGCCATTTTATATGAAACATGTTGGACACCCGTTGGCATTGATTTAATTGGAACTTTAAAATGATTCATTCGATCAACTCTCTGCACATTCCATTGTGGTTGTAATGGATAATTTTGCTGTTGTTGTTGTTGATAATGTTGTTGTTGAAGTTGTTGCTGTTGCTGTTGCTGCTGCTGTTGTAAATCTGTTGCTTGTTCCTGTTGTGGATGGAATACTGTTGTTGGTTGTTGTTGTTGTGGAACATCGGATGTACTTGTTTTCTCATCACTATCTCTAACAATCACTGGTGCAATGGACAATTCATTCGGAATAGTTTCATCGGGTACAATGTTTTCTGGATCAATTGTTACAGTTTGTGATGATACCTCATCGGTCGAAATAGTTTCAGGAATGATTGTAGTTTGGCTATCAAAATATCAAAATAAAATGAATAAAAATGTTCTAATATCATGATAATATTAAAAAGAATTACCCGAAAGTTTTAGCCAGACAACAAAACGATATGATCAATACAATTAATAAAGATTTCATTTTTTTCAAATTTTCAATTTTCGAATGTGAAAAGATGATGATGATGATCAAATGATAAATTCATCGTTTTTATATATGAAAAAAAATCATCAAATAAAATGAATCACCAAGGAAATAATATTCATTATTATTGCATTATGATGTTTTGTTTCGAATAAATGTTGATAGGCAAAAATCAAAAGTCAGCAGAAAAACAAAAAATAAACCAAACATATCCGTTCTATCAAATATGGCCGCATTTATTTTCATATTTTTTTTTTGTTTCAAACGGAAATTGTCATAATTGTTTATCGATGTTTTTGTTTGTGATTTCGAATAGCGAAAATCTGATTATATTTCAATGTTGAAAATATTCAATTCATTATCTCTCATAGACAGATGCTTGATAATATTTTTTTTCACTTTAAGAATTAATTTCTCTTTGATAATTTTGATATCAATATTTTATTTTTATTAAGAAAATGTTATTGAATAATATCATACCGTTATTTTAAAACAGTATCAATTACAAATGAATTGGCGACCGGATGGCTAAATGAAAAACAACCTTGCCTGGCCATATTTGGATTCGGCTATCGCAGTATCGTTGTTGCTATTATTGTTAAACAACAATAATGAATATTATATGCTAAAACATCCGAAGCTGAAAATGAAAAAACATGAAAACAAATTTCCAAAAATAATGACAGTGATGATGATCAATCACTAAGAAAAAAAACCCAAAATCGTTTAAACTTCCGTTGTTGTCAGATGGATTTGAAGAGTTAATCCCAGGGTTGGAATGCCTCAAGGACAAACTTTCAATGTTAACGAGAATTTGGATATGAAAGAAGTTCCGGTTTTTGTTGGCTAATTTTCAATTAACCTTTGATTATGATTGATTAGCTCCGGTATCATGATCTAAATTTTCAGTTCAGAATTCAAGTGTATAAAAGACAAGAAATTTTTTAAATGAATTTTCATTTTTTCCCAAAAAATTTATTGTTTGTTCCTAATGCAAAACAAGATGAATACAAGACTATCGTTATTTATTGTTTTGATCATCGTTTCAACTTTTTTTACCATGACTTTGGCTCAATTCGGCAGAGGATTCGGATTTGGCGGCATGGGTATGGGTCGAGGATTTGGCGGAGGATTCGGCAGACGTGGATTCGGCGGTATGGGCATGGGAATGGGTGGATTTGGCAGACGTGGATTTGGTAGGCGTGGTTTCTGGGGCTAAAACATTCGAAATCTGTCCGTAAAATTGGGTTTGTTTTAAAACAATGTTTTTTTTTATTGCACTTGAAAAAATATTTTTGTAATCAATGAGAAAACCAATTCTAAATTCATTTATTGTTCACTTTTTCGAACGGAATAAACACGTTCATCACGTTTAAATGGTCCATATTGTGAATGAATAATTTCTGTTTTAATTGTCATACCAGAACTATCTTTAAATTCATTACAATAATCAATAAAAGAATATTGTCTAAGAAATTCTTCAAAAACATATAGATTAAATCCACAAAGATGTTGTCGAGCTTCATCCAATGGAAACCATTGACAATCATCGATTTCAATTTGACAGGTTTCGATTTTTGATTGTTTAGCTGGTACCAATAGGCAAACGAAATAAAAATCCGAACAGCCAAATATACCAGTGTGATTGTGTCGAAAAGAAATGATCGATTTTAATGTACATTCGATTCCAGTTTCTTCTTTCACTTCACGAATTGCAGTATCGCCAATATCTTCACCGGATTCTGAATAACCACCAGGAAATTTCCACATTTTTACCCGAGAATTTTTTTCCTGTATCAGTAAAACTTTTTTTATAACTGGATCATATACCAATCCACCTACACCGATGGTAGTATGAGCGAATTTCGGTATTCGAGTTTCTTCATTTGGTATCCATTTGACAAGCATTACGAAATTTGATTTAGCATGATGAAATTCAAAACCATGCTTTTGATAAACAAAATAAATGAATGATTAACATTTCATTAACTGTATGAATTAAAATACTTACCTTAATGAGTACCGATATCAAATGTGAAAGTCTACTGGGTACCTTAAACCAGATACATCTACGGCCATTTTCAATCCAAAGTTTCAATGCATCTGTACAAGTTTGAATTCTTGCCATTAATATAAAAATTCATCATCATCAAATAACCGAACTATAAAATAATTACCTTTAATAATAGTATCAAATGAATCTACCGTTAGTTCGGATCGAATTTCATCCGGTATATAATGTAAATCGATTGTTATTCCATTATAAATATCTGTTTTGACGGTAATATTTAGAAATTTTTCCTGCTCCATTATGCAATACGGAAATATTAATTTGATTAATTAGTTAAGAGCAAGAAAAAAGTTTTCATATCAATTTTTTTTTCATTTATAACAATACAAAATTGAATCATATGATTTATTTCCAATATTGGATACAAATTCCAATGAAATTGTTTGCCATTGCCATCTTTTAGTTAAAAATGGAAATAATCAAATAATTTTGGAATACAATTTCAACAGGTGTATGTTTGTTTTGTGATTATTTCCTATTTAACGAAATTTTCTTGTTGATCATTGAACTAACAGAAATAACAAACAAAAAATTAAAAATTAAAATAGAAAGTGTGAAAAATTTTTCAACATTGTGCTAAAATAGATAAATTTATTTATTATTAACACAATTAAGTATAGTTTTGAAATGAAATATAATGGGTTTTTTCCTATTATCCAGTAAATCAAATCATCATCATCACATTTGAAGATTGATCGTGTGATGAACATCCCAACAAACATAAAAAAATGATGTATCATCAGAGACTTCTGGCTTTTTTTACAACGAAATAATTTTCAAAAACATAAATTTAAATTCAAGATTCAATTCAAATATGAATGAAAAATTAACATTTGAATTTTTCACTTCACTCCCATTCTTCGAGGTTATTATTGGTGGTTTTCAATGAAAACACAAAAATTCTGCCTTCTTTGCTTTTTTTGATCAAATATGATGATGACGAGCACGACCAATTGATTGTTCCATATTGTCTTCAAATTCATTTTTACATGTTTTTATGGTCAAAGAAAAATTTCAAAGATTTAATCGTAGAATTCAATGTTTTTGAATTTTTATTTAGACACACATACATAATGGAACAACATAAATTGGAATGCGAATACAATGTTTTCAATGAACATTTTTACAGGATACATCATGATGATGTTGAACGTTGCTAAAGAATGAAGAAAAAACTATGTTCAAGCTAAGATAATTACATATTTCATACATTATCCATATCCATCATAAGTCCTAATATATTTTTGCTATAATAACAATGTTCTGTTCCATATAAAGTATTTTCCTTCCTTTTAAAATTTTGATATTTTGGAATTGTAATCTATTTTTATACATTATGCATACATGTGTCTGTATTCTAACAAACAATCTAATCCTATCAAATCATTGAATGAATGTGTAGTTTTTTCAGATAATAATAATAACAATCCTCATCGTTATTTGAATGGTTGATTGGCCTGATCATTGTAATCGTTCAGATTCATTGAACATCGATCAAATCAATCGATCAATTCATCATCGGTTAGAGCAATTATAATAAAAGTCTGGTGATTATCATACGAACATATGATCATTTGTTTTCAATGATTGAAAACAATAATCATTGATTGTATTCAAATACAGAGAATAAACATAAATGAATTCGTAACATCTGTAACGAAATTGATTTTGGGTTTTCAAGTTTTTGAAACAGAAATCAAATTATCTGAATTTTTGATAAAATCATTTTTATGATTGATTCTATCGGAATAAGATATTTTAGTTTAGCATGTCAAAACCAAAATATAAATAAATCGATTACAAATTTGATTGTTTTGATTTTGTTTCAAAATTTGTTTGGCTTGTATTTTGTTTTCATCTTGTGCGATTTGTTCTTCTTTGGATTGTTTCGAAGGTTTTTGTTTTTAAATTTGTTTACAACAACATTCAATAATGTTGGAATGGATTTAAATAGAAATTCAAATTGTAGTGATGATGTTTTTATTTTCATTTTGGACAAATGACAATCGATTATGATGAAACAAGATGTGAAAGGCTGTGATAAATGGATTTTTATTTTCTTCTTCCAAATTCAATGGCACAAACGTCATTGATTTTATATACTTGATTTTTAAAAAAAATCACTATGAAATAAAGTTCACATGTGAAATGTATTGAATTGATTTATTGATGAAGATTAATTTTGTTAGAAAATGAAACGACTAATATCAATTCAAAATTTAGTATTTTTTTTATTTTGATCAAAATTCAATATATCAACTCAATCGATATTTATTATAATGATTTTAGTGGTCGATTTCTATATAGCCACTTTTTTTCTAGCCTAATGTTTCACAATCATCATAATCTCTGTGTAAAGGTTTGCCCTTAAACAAAATTGATATAAATGAAAACTTGTTGTTGATCAAATCTATTGCATTGCAAATTGTACATCCTTGTAAGTGTAGAGAAAAAAAAAGATTAAGATAATTTTAAATCAAGATCAAGAAAAAAGGTTTGTAAATTGACCCAATCTATTGATTGATCTATTTATATGATATGTTTATTAGCCTATCACGATGAACTTTCTCCCTACTATATTATGTATCTAACAATGAATATCTGAATGAATTTCATTTTTAAAGGTCGACCTTTTTACATTTTTAATCAACTTGTTGCTTTTAAATTTCTGTCCTGTAAAAAAATATTTAGCTACAAGTTTAGATTGCTTACAAATTGTAGATCTGTTGATATGTTTTGAATGACTAGGAAAATATTATTATCGACATTATTATTATTGATTTTGAATCAACAAAAAAGGTGTTTTTTTTCGCTTGACATCATAATATAGATGTTTTCCATTTGCATTTAAATAGATTGATTTGAATATATCGGTCTATTTCAAAAAGGTTCAGACAAAAAAATACGATGCTGGCATATTAAATAATGTTGTAACATTTTTTTTTTCTTGTCATTTGCAATTGAAAATAATTATAATCATGATGATAGATCATGTTTGATTGATGATTTTTATTAATATCGCCATCAAATAATTTTCATTGAAATTTAGCTTTAAGCATTTAGTTTCTGTTTTTATTTTGTGATTTAAAAGAAAAGATTTGTTACATCTTTTTATTTTGATTTAAAACAAAGCATAGAAAACGATTACAATGACAATGGACAAAAAATGCAATGCGAAATCTTTTATTGAAATTTCGGAAAACAAAAACAAAAATCAAACACAGAAGCATTTTCAACATCCGATTTGAGAATGACCAACTTTCGATGTAAAAAAATGTTGTACGAAAAAGTAGAAAAAACCTTTTTGGTCAATTTAGCCAAAAACAAAATGATCGGATAGATTTATCTAACCAGTTAAATTGGTTGCTGCTATCACACAACTTGTTGAAAATTTTTTTATTGACCACCAGAAATTTGGCCAACATTCCATTTTTGTTTTTGTTTATGTCTATAGATTGTTGTTCAATTTATCTTACCTTTCTCTTTTTTGTTGTTGTTGTCGGTCATCATTAAGGTTTTAGTCTCCTTCTGTTTTACACATCTATAAACAGAAAAAAACCACCTAGTAGATATTTAATCCATAATTGTTGGTAATGTATTTATCTATTTTATTTTTTTTCCTCTCGTTCATTTCTATTAATAAAATATACCTAGAGAAAAAACCCAAGCCAAACATTACCATTTGAATCTAAATGAATGAATGATGAACAAACATCATCAAGTAATCATCAGATCGACTAGCCGAATCCGATTGGTCAAAAAATCTATCGAAAGTGATTGAAATCATATTATATATGATGAACAACAAATGAATGAACAAAAAAAAAGAGAATGTAAGGTTCAGATAGATATATTTCAATGAAAGGAGAAAGAAAGAAATAAAGAGAACAAAAAAAAAGAGCTAAAGGTGGCCGCCATAATTATTTTAGGTATATGAAAATAGAACTAGAAGTTATATACGAGAATGATTTTTGTTGGAAAAAAAAATAAAGAAAGAAACAAAAATAATTTATGTTTTTTCCCCAAATCGGCTTGGATAAATGAATGAATGTATGAAGGAATCGAATGTTTTCCCTTTAATCGATACAAACAGAAAGAAAAGAAAAATTTCCGATTTTAGTATTGTTTATTGTTGTTGTTGATGATGATGGTGATGATGAGGGCCAAACATTCTTCAATCTGACATCCAATGGTCAACAACAACAATAACAGCAGAAGCAACTTTTGTTTTATTAATTAATTAGAATGATAATAAAATTCATACTTATTTTATAAATCTGATCAATATAATTATCGATGTTTGCTATCAACCATTGTTTTGTTGTGTTTTCATCATGTTGATTTATTGCATTCTTAAATGATTTATAATGAAATTATCAAGATTATCTTCATTAATTAATGCTCGAACTATGAAATTAATCTCATTGTTTTATATACAAATTATTTTTCAATCATTTTTCTTATCAACAATGATAATCATTCCGACTGTACATGCACGTATGGGTCTAATGAATAAACTTCGAATATTAGCATTGTTATCGTTGGTGAAAAAAATTGATGTTGTCCCATTTCCATTGCCATTACCAATACCGTGAGTAAATTTTAATTTAAATTTCAAAATTTTTCAAAACTTTTTATTTTCCGAATAAATTCAATAGGATTCATATTCATGGAAAAGATGAAATTGTCTTTATGAATCCAATATCGACAAATTCCCGTCCATCATATTCATCGGGAAATGGAAAAGAAATGTATAGCTATAGTGCTAGTGAATTATCACCCGTATCAATATCGCCTAACAATGGACAATATTTACGATATGGTGATCGTATTTCAGCAAATAATAGACCAGCACTTGGTGATCATCCTGGACATACAACATATCGAATGCGTAAAGCATTTCGTAATCGACAACCACCACAATGGTATAAGGACATAAATGATAAAAATCGTGACAAAAAAACGACCACGGCTAAATCTATTGATCAATCATCAACGATTGCTCAAGATCCTAAATCGGATAATGTTAATTTGAAAGATATTAAAATTATTTTTATACCCATAAAAAATCTACAACAAAATCAACAACAAAATGCAAATCGAAGTATAGAGACATCGATTATAGAATCCGATATGAAACAATTAACAGATGAGATCAGAGATCAATTGAATTTGAATAATAATCAAACAAATAATGATAATTCGGTAACATTGAATTCAACAACAGGAACAACGATACCAACTACATCTACTGTTTTGATGAATTCGACCGAAACAGAAGCACCGATTTCAACGGAAGAGCTAAAAGTAACTTCACCCAAATCAATTGATGTTGACGAGCTTTTGATTGATGATTATGGCGACTATGATCGTCGACAGCTGCCACCATCATCACCGCAAAATATGGTTGATAATCAATATACTGTTGAACCACAGTTGGCTCCATCTATTGATCAAACTTCCAAATCTGAATCTGAAACTTTCATCAAAAAAGATGTGACCAAAATAAGACGACCAACACCAAATTATGAAGTTATTCCACCACCTACTACTACAGCAACACCTACCTATCAGGCATCATCGGCACCGTTTCCAATACCATCATTAGAATCTGAATGGTTGAAACAGAATTCATATGTTCCACGTGCTCGTTATTATAAAGCTCCTGAATTGAAAATCCTACATCATTTGAAACCATATCAAGACGAACAATATGAACAATCTTCAAATAATATTCCACCATCATCATTGCAATCACAATCTTTACCTCAATCGCCATCAATTACAAATCAATGGTCATCAGTTAGGCCACAAAATGAACCATCACATCCAATACAATTTCTTTATTCGGTATCACATGCCAATAATGTTCCAATGCATTCGCTCACACCCACATCTCAATCATCATCATCATACAATTTTAATCCATTAACATCACAAAGGCCACACTTACAACCATTACAGATACAATCATCTATGTCACAATTTCATCGATATCCGATTGCAGAAAATTTTGGTCTAGATGCATTCAATCATCAACAACAACAACAATATAGACGCCGGCCATTAATGGTGTCACGAAAACATCCGGTTATCATTAACAATAATAGTAATGATATAGAAAAATGGCCAATAACATCTTCTTGGACACAACATTTACAACCTTCATCATCATCGCCATCATCATCATCATCATCGTCATTATTATCTCGGTTTAGTAAACGATTATGGGGATAAAGAACAAAATGGACAACGAGATTGATTAAACAAATTACAACAGAAAAAAATCATCAATTTTTTTAAAATTTTTATTTTCATTTTTAAATATATCATTATTCATCTATAGTCATCATGTTATTAATTCAGTTATTCATTTTTTTTACGTTTCATTTTCAATTTTAATTTTAATGAATAAAAAATTTTGTTTATTTCCTGGCTACTGGGAATGATGTAATTTGATTGCCATTGTTGTTTACAAAATAGATGAATTTACTTGAAATAGATGATGGGATATATCATCATCATAAATATGAAAAAATTGTGAATTTAACGGAATTGTCGTAAAATTTTGGATTTTTATCACAAAAAAATGAGTTTCCAAATTTCACAAACATATTCACAATCAAAGTCAAAAGATGGCAGCATTATTGAAATTGAAAGACATCCTGCAAAACAATCAACAAACGTTCCAAAAGGAAAAAATCGAAATAAAAAAGAGGATTATGCAGAAAAAAACGACCAAAGATTATGCAAATTTTTTCTCGAAAAAAAAGAACGAGGAAACAGAAAAAAATTTATTAACATTTTTTTAAAATTAATATCGGCACATTCATCATCAACAGGTAACATCAACAATTATTTAAAATTGACATAGAATGTATGTAAAATGATTATTTTTATATTTAAAAAATGTGTTTGTGTGTGTGTGTGGAAGTGTTTCAGAATGATAATGATGAAAACATTATAATGAACAAGTGAGAAAAGTGTAAATTAAAAAAAATGAACAAAAAGAATAATAATAATAAAAATTGTTGGCAAAATCTGAATCGATTGGAATCCAGTCCAAAAAAAAATATCCAAAGTACAGTATAGTGTTCATATAACAAAAACAAAAACATTTTTTTAATAATTTTGCAATGCTTCATGTTTAATTGAATCGGCAATCATTGTCAAATATGAATCATTATATTCATCATTTGCACCACTTGGTATAACATGAACATTTGTCAATTTGTCATTACCATCATTATAACCACCCGATTCTTTTATCTGTTTCAATAGGCTACGACCATACCCTCTCCATTTGGTACTCGTATGTTCACCCATTGGACCAAATGAATCACCTTTCATGAATCCACCGCCCATCATAATATTTGGATATTTAAGACTGTTTTTAAATAATTGTTGATATGAGGGCATTTTATTTTTTGGCATCGAATAGCCACCACCACCTTTACCTCCTTTCATATATGCACCAATACTACCTTTACTGTATCCTCCTCCACCACCACCACCATAAAGTTTTCTAACTTGTTGACGATAAAAACTTAATGGTGTACCATCATCGAATGCTTCAATTACATGACCACCACTACCGCTCATCATATAATCACTTTCGCCACCATAACAGCATTTACTTCCACCACCACCACCGCTACCGGATGATCTAAAGCATTGCAAAGAAAAGAGATGAAACAAAAGTTAGATTAAGCATCCATTCAAAGAAATTATTGATAATTTAAAATAAGAACTACAAAGATTTTACGGAATTTTCTTAGATTTCTATTAATAAACAAAATGCAAAAACGAAAATATTTTGTGTGATATGTGTGTTTTCTAAGTGCGGTAGTTGCAAATTTTTTTTCCTAATATTTAACAAGCAAATCTGATGTGAATTTAAATATGAAAAAAAAAAATTTTACTTCGTGCGAAAAATCGTGACATATGTTTAACCAGGGACAATAATCGTGGTTGGTAACAGTCGTTGAAATTAATTCAAAACTTTTTATTTTTACTAAATTTATATTTTCTACCTTTTTTTCCATGCTATTTTATCATTTTATGTATCTATATCCATCTGGTCTGATGGAATAAGAAGCTGGAAAAAACAACAACAACAGACATTGTTCCTATTTTTGTTGTTGCATGAGAGGATAATGGAGAAAAAACAGAAACCAGATGATAATAATAAGTAGTTTTTTGGGTAGAAAAAAAAATCAAAAGAATAATTTAAAGAACAAACTTGAAGTAAAGATAGAAACCTGAATCATTTTTTCTTTCTTCTAATGAAAGTTATATAATGCACAAAATTGATCACAAAAAAAAATGTTATGAGATGACCAATTTCAATCATTTTCGAGTGTGGGAATATGATTTATTTATTTTTTTTTCATAAAGAAAAAATGTGAAAACATAATTCCATAGTTTACACAATCTTGTTTCAAGATGATTATGTTTAATTTAATCGTTTTTTCAAAATCTAAATTAGTTTTTAGTCAAAAAAAATATGATAACAGTGTGGGCTGATATATTTAAAAAAATTTAAATTTTTTGATAAACTTTGTTTTTGTTGGGGTCATCCGTACAAGTGAAAATCCAAACCGATTCATCTCAATCAATATTAATCAAGATTTGTTTTTTTTCAAAATTAATAATTATAAAATCTTGATTATTATCATTCTACGGGCACCATATTGAAACGAATTGGCCCGTTCATACTTATAGCGTGATAATGATGATGATAATGATAATCACCATTTTGTATTCAAATAAGATACAAAAAAAAATCTTATGGCATTTTTTTGTGTTTTCTCCCATAACTTCGATATATATCGAATGAAAACACGTGAACAATTTAGCGTGCTCGATTTTATTTTCTGTTCAGTATGTTTTTTTTTTGATAAATATCAATTTTACGTTCAAAAAAACGAAAAAACTACCAAATAAAAAATGATCTTGTACTCAAAGCTTGTTAAATGTTGCATCAATTATTGTTGAAAATCTGAAACAAACATCAAACTAACATGTATGGTAATTAATTTCGTTTTTTTTTTGGGAGGACATCATAATTTTTATTTTTTTGTCAATATTTCAAATGATGACATCGGATTGATAAATTATGAACTTTTCACCTGGATCATTTATTTATCGTTGTTTTTTTAGGCAACGGAAAATTTTTCGTTCAGGTTTTAAAGTTGATCTTTGATGGAAAAAAATATTTGAAAATCTTGTTTTGTTAATTTTTTGTCATTTTAATAAAACAATTATCATTTATAAAGGATTCAATATTTTTTTCATAAATACTAATGATAATTGATTGAATCATTTATCTGGTTATTTGCATGACATTCATTTTGGAATCAGAGCATAGAAATATTGTTATTTTGCAATAACCAAATGAAATGTTTCTTTGAAAACAACAATTATAATTTAATGTCAACAAATGCATAAAGAGAAAGAGACAATAGTAGCATAGGTTGTGATTAAATTAGATTTTATTCATTTAAACTAGAATCCTGATTATCAACTATCATAAATTGTCGTTTAAATTAAAAGTAAACAATAATAACAATTGTTACTATTTTTAGAATAAATTCGTTTTCTTTCTTTTTTTTTATTTTCATTCTTAATAATAATTTTTGTTTTTTGTTTGGAATAAAAGTGAGAGAAAAGAAGATGTTAATGAATGTTTTCTTTCTGTTATTGTTTTCTTGCAATCAATGCAAAATAAATGTTATGCATGATCATGAAACAAAAACAAAACAAAAATAATTACTGAACAAAATACACAGCAGTATATAATAGCTTATCTTAATTTCTCATTTGTATTATTTACAGTCTTGGTCATTTTTCATTTAATTTTGACCAGTTGATATTTTGAGAAAGTTTTGTTCTTTTTTTCATTTTAATGAAATAGAATGATGTAACAATAACAACAACAAAATTGTATGTAACCATTCAGCAATGAAAATGAATAAAGTGAAAACAACAACAACAACAAAAAACTAACAACGACAAACATATAACAACAAAAAAGATGATCCCGGAAAAAATTAACATACGTACAATATAGCTATTTTTTTTTGTTCATCATCATCATCATCAACAATATCATATTCAAGATGACGATAATGATAATGACGATATAGTAAATATCAAATGTGCAATAGTGTATGGTCATTATTAGATAAGTATAAACATCCTGATTATGATGGAGATGATGATGATGAAGCATTGGATACGGCATAATGATTTTTTTCAATAATTTAATTTATTTTTGACTGAAATCCAATTAATGAACCAAAAAATAAATTTTTTTTTTATTTACACGATATGAACATCTATTGTTATAAATCGAAAATTCAAATACCATTTTATAGATGTTTTGTTGTTCTCATTGACAATCTCATAAATCTCTTAATTCGATGATGGCGAAATCCTTTTAATTCGTAATTTAAACAATTTTTGTATCTTCTACATTTTCAAGGAAAAAATCAGCATGTTTCATCTTTCTTTTTGTTTATTTCATTAATTCAAATAACAAAAATTGATTATTTTTTTCAATCTTCTTGTTGTCAAACTTTCAAACAAAATTTTTGTTTCTTTCAAAACAAAAATCTACAAATTCAACAAAAAAAAAATGTAAAAATTGATATTATTTCATCATCATAATATTGTTTCATCAAATTTATACTTTCACAAACGTTTGAATGCAAATTCGAGAAGCAAAAACAAAACAAAAAAATCCTTTTTCTATATAATTATGATCAGATTAACAACTTATGGCTGCAATGAAATGAAATGATAACCTGTTGAATCGGATAATAATAAATACTGTAGTCGATCTTTTTTTTGTTTAGTCAATTTCATATGAATATTTTTTTGCGAAAACGAAAAAAAAAGTATTATCATCCATTGTTTTTTATCTAAAAGTTACAATCACACACACACACACAGAGAGAAAAAAGAGAAACACACACATACAATCACCGATTATATCATTCAACCTGTAAGCTCATTATTCATATAATTTGTTGGCTAGCCAGGAAAATCGATTTCATTTTATCAATGAAGAAACATCAAGACTGAACGGAAGACTAAACTAAATGAACGGGAAAAACCAAAAAACAAAAACAAAAACTCATTATTATAATCTTCATCTCGTTTTTTTTGCAACTTGCCAAAACGATGATTAATAAAAAGATGGTTACTAATTACAACCAAATCGATTATTTTCAGGTAGTCGAAGATGAATCCAGGAACTGTTTAATCATTTGTTGTTGTTCTTCTCTTGCCCAATTAGGCATATCAATCAACAAAATCGAATCGTTAACATTTCCCTATTGATGATTTAAATGATTGTTTTTATTTGTCGGCATTTTCTATGAGGAACGCCTCAGGTTTATCTCATCATAATTTTAACAACAAAACAAAACTAATGAATATTTTTCTGGATCAAATTTTGATTTCGACTTTCAAATTTTTGTTAACTTTGATTCGATATTACAATTGCCACAACATGTATAATTGAATCATTTGAAAAAGTGAAAAAAACAATGAATTGAAGTAAGTCAATAGGCGAGAAGAAAGTCATCAATATTTTTTCTCTTTTTCTCTATTTTATCATTTCCACGTTTGTTGATTGACTACATTGATTTGGTTTATCGATTCGAAATTATTATTATCATTTTTTTTGTTAACGATGGTAACAATAATTGATTTGATGAAATAAGAAGAAACAAAAGAAAAATCAATGAATGAATTTTCAACACAATAAAAAAATATTTTACAGCTTGTGTAGGAAAAATTGATTGTTGTTTCATATCTGGTTGTGTATCGATTACCGGACATCATTAATGTTTTTTTATATATTATTATTATTGAAACAAACACTTTGATACCTTATTCACCTGTTATCAAAAATGATTTGATCGATTTTTTTTTGTTTCTGATTGTGGACTTTTTTCTGCGAACAAAAAGTTTTCGATTCATGTGTATGAAAAACTTTCACTCTACGATAGAGTAGGTCAGATCTTTTTTGTTTGTTTGTTTCCACAATAGTTTTGTTTCTATTATCATCGAAATTTTTTTTTTTTTGAAATAACCATTTTGCCATCAATTATTTGCAGTTACAAGTTTTCGTTTTTCTTTTCATTCAATCATTAGTTATTTGATCAAAAAATAAAACAATTTGATTTTGATTAGGTTTGGTCAGTCGATGATTAACTTATTTAATAAAATTGAAACAACAATAAGCAATAAACACACCCACCGACATACATCTCTTTTTCAATATTTTGTCCATTCAAATTAATTGAACTTGGATTTTTTGCCAATTTAATTAATTCAAAAAAAATGATTATATAATTAGCTTGTTTGTTTTCTGTATAAACAAAGTTGAATAATTATTCAACGATTATGATCGAAATTTGCGAAACGAAATAGATTTTTTTGATCAATTTCTTGAAAGGTAAACGAAAAACAACAACAACAAAAAGTTTAAATATTTACATGAAAATTTCAACAGTAGCATTCGAAATGATCATTGATTTTTGATCTTTTCTCCATTGACATCGTAACACAGATCCATCTGTATCATTATTATTTTTATGGTTGTATTCAAATTTCTCAAATTTCTCATCATCATCATATAAATTCAATTTCATGTGTAAATATGTGGGCGTTCGAATACAAATTCAACCTATTTGTCAGCGATTTTTTTCTGTTATCCTTTTTCCAAACATCAATCCAAATATTCAAATGGCTACTTAAAAGTAATTTCCAAGAAAAAGTCTTCTTACCATCTTCATCTATTGATGATAATGAGAATGAAATTGATAAAATTGAAAAAAAGATTTTCTATCCTTCCTTTCCAACACACACAACAACGAACACCACAATCCTATGTATGAAAATGTCAAACGGAACAACAACAACAAAAAGAATGATATTTTATACGAATAATGACATCGATAACAATAAAATGTTAGGAAGAAAAATTCTCATTCAAAGGATAATACACTTAGCACTTAGTTTTGAATGAACTTAATAAACATTGAAAAAAAACACATTCCCTTTTCATCTCCCATGATAATGATAATGACGACGATGATGAATATCTTCTGAGAAGAGAGTGAAGATACCATTGAAAAAAATAATGGTAATCAATTCTTATGAAACATTTGCCATTTCACAATTTAACAAAAGTTGATGAAAAAAATTGAATGAGCGAAAAATTTATGAATGAAAAAATATTTAAATAAAATATTTATCAAGCGTATAAAAAAATATATGATTGCCATCACTCAATATCGATTACCGTATCATGTATGTTGTTGTTGGTTCATTTTCAATTTTTTCCATAATAAAAAAATTTAACATTTCAACATCATCCATCCGTATACGAATGTAGTAGCCATTTTTTTCCTGCTAAGAATGACATGCAATTTATAATGAATATTTTCAGCGAAAAAAAATCCTCATAAGTGGATGTCGTTGAAAAAAATGTGACATTTTAAATTGAATTGAAAAGAAAACAATTTCTCTACAGTCTATAGACTTTATGTAACTTTTTTTTCACCAATCATAATCACTATTCAATATGGCAATGTATAATAATCATAATCATAAAATGACAATAAAAAGTATCGGTCAAAAATGGTTTTCTTCTTAGTTTACAGAAAAAAATGTCAACATCAATAACATAAATGTTTAAATCCAACAATACGATGCAATATAGCTAATATTGAATGTTCTATATGTTAGGGAATAAAAATTTGATGAATTTTACAAGTGAAAAATCAAAAGAAATGATAATCATAAATTTCCGTCATTGACAATGACAATAAAGTCATTTATTATGTTTATTTCCCGGATTTTTATTTTCCGATTCTCATGCATCAAATTACCGGGGAGAAAAATGAACAACGAACAATATTTTTTTTTATTAAATAATGTAAAATTAATTTAAAAAAATGATTGTATGTATACACTGAAATCATATTTTTTCATAATGATCAAATCTGAATGATAATAATGAATCAGAAAATGATGTTCATTGTTTGAATGGACCAAACTCAACAAACTCAACAAAACAAAACAAAACAAAAAAGTTCCTATGAAAACAGAACAAAAATCTGAACTTTTAATCGCATAAGGATTTATATTATATCAACAGCATCATTTTTTCGCCCATTTCAATGAACAAAAAAAATTGACAATTGGTGAAATAATAATATTTTTTTCCGAAAAAAATTCCAAGAAAAAAATATCAATATTTTCTGCGAAATTGAAAAAAAATTTCCTTGGAAAACACACAAACACGAACAAAAATGTACGAATAATCCATTATCACTTACGAAATTTTTATATTAAATGGCAGCATGCCCATGGTTGCATCGACTAGTAATATATTGTTTGTATGTAACGACAATATTGTTGTTACAATTATGATTGCCCAAAATAATTGAGGCGTAGGTAAATAATTTAGATTTGGATGCATCATTTTTTTTTGTTTCAGTGATGAATATATTTGTGATTATTTTTAGTATAAAAAGATGATTATTATTATTGATGAAACAATGATGTAATACAACAGGTGAAATGAAAAACAATCAAAATTCTGATGTTTATATTTTTATTTTTTCCTTTGATGATGATAACGATGGTGATGTTGTTGTCGTTGTTGATGATGATGATGATGAATACAATGATGAAATACCGGTGTTCGACATTCAATGAAAATTTAAAGCTGAAAGAAGCAATTGAATTTTATTTTTTTAAATTAAGTGTTGGTGGCTGCTATTTTTGTCGATGATGATGATGATGATGATGATGATGATGATGATAAATAAGGACAAAACAAAAATTACAATCAATTGATCAAACACAAACACACAAAAAAACATAAACAAGCAAACAAACAACAAAAAAGATTTGATGGAAAAAATATTGAATTCTATAATAAATGAATTTTTTTATATAATAAAAATAATGATGATTTTTTTTCGGAAAGAAATTTTATCTTTATTCTTTTGATCAAGACATTTTTGATGTGCCAGCACCCAGACCATAGATAACTTTGTATAGAACAACATTAAATATAGAAAAAAAGATATGAATGATGATGATGATGATGATGTTGAAAATAACAATCAATAATTGACCAAATCCAATTGAACAAATTGGTCAATTTTTTTTCCAACAATAAAATATTTCAAAATCAAAACAGAAAACAAACTTTGTTGTAGATAGCAAAATTACAGAATCGAATAAACAACGAGACAAAAAAAAAGTCCCAATTTTTTTGCAGATATATTTATTTTAAACACTGATGACAGAAAAAAATACAAATTAAAAAGATACTTTTTGTTGTTGTTGATCTCATTGGATCTATGCTTTCGGTGAGACGACACGATGTTCATTCGTCATCAAATAAATAAAATAATATGGTCACCATAAATAAAAAACAATTTTTTGTTTTGTTTTGCTTTGATTATTGTTAGTTTAGCTAGTTAGATCATGATGATGATGATTAACAAATCGACAACAACAACAACAACATATAGACAGGTCGTAATGGTAAAACGATCTAAGGATCTAAACAAATCAAGTGGAAACTTAAACTTGGAAAAAAAACTTTGGTTTTTCATTGATGAGAAAAAAGAGAGAGAGAGTTCGTGTGTAAGAGAGAGAGAATTGGTTTGAATATGCTTGCATGTGAATGTATCTGGAACAAAAAAAAATGAAAGAGAAAGCGTCATAGTAAACACTTGTATGATGGTGATCATCTCTCATTCAAGTCATGTCTATGTTTTTTTCCTATTTGGAAGCCATTTTTTATTTTTGCTTCTTAACTAAAGATGATGATGATAATCATTTCTCTTTCTACAACAATATCATTACGTTCCATAAGGTTGCTGATGATAATAATGGTGTTGGTGGTTGAAATTCCATTTTACCCTATTCGTGGTTGATATAGATCAATCAATCTAATATCGATTGACGACTAATAATAATATGGATTTTAAGTAATAAGATGTTAAGTGAGAAAAATCTGAAAAAAAGAGAAAAAGTAGAATGATCATTGTATATTATTTAATAACTATTCATTGAAAATGATTCAATATTCAGTCCAAATTTTCATTTCTAACCTCGTTTATATTCCTGTTTTTTATTGCCATACTATTGTTGCTATCATCACAATGACGATAATGAACAAAATAAAAAAAAATTTCGATGTCAATGATAAATATCATTATTATCATGATAATATTTGTAACGATATCATTTTTATTTTTTTCAATTTAAACGTTCGCTTCGAAAAAATTAACAATTTTTCCAATATTAAAATTTGATGATATGTTTCGATTCGACCAAAATAATGATGATTATTTCTGGTGCGTTATCGTTTTTCTCATTGTGATGATAGTGATCCAAATCGAAATAAAATAGAACCAAATTTGATCATTTTTTTCCTGAATGATTATTATTAATAGTTCCATTTGACCCATTTCATGAGATCATGATGAACAAAATGTGATTCAATCAATGATGGATTTCATTTTTTTTTTCTTCGCATCATTTATCTCATGGGAAAAAAACGATGAATCAATCTGACCATCTTAAACCTGTGGATGTAATATCTTAAAAATCTATTTGTATTCAAAATAGTTGTACAAGAAAAAAAACGAAATTAGCATGCTGATGAAAAATTAGAAAAACCAAAATTCAATTCAAATTATGCTCTCTTTTCAATTTACTAATTAATTTGTTTCTGACTGTTTCTGAAACTATTTCCATACAACAACAAATAGGAAATCGATGTATTGCAACTTAATAGATTAAAGTGCGAAATAAATTTTTATCTTTTCTCTCCATTGTCTGTGTCACGGACATCAAAATTGATGTTATCATTTTAGCATCATCATCATCATCATGAGGATATGTCAGTTCACCAATCATCTTTATTTGTATTTATGTTTTTCGTATAATGTCCTCGTAAACAACATCATTATAATAATCTACATCATTGTTCATTAAAATCATTGTCATTAATATTATTTTCGTTTTCCGATCAAATTGAATCAATTGCTATTTCGTTCAATTTGAATTTATTTATGTTTTTTTTCATATTCGATGATTTAGTGTATGGATGATGACAAATGATATATTATATAATCATCAATAATGTCATAAAATTTTCAGCAAATCTTAGTTAATCGAATTTTTATTTTTATTTATTTTCTTGATGTCTGTTGTCGTCGATATCATCTTAGTGCAAACAAACAAGGAACTGATTTGTTTTACGATATTTTCATCGCGCTTGTTTTTTTTCCTGCGATTATTCGAATAGTTAAATCCGATTGAATGGATACTATCCGTGATCCATCAGCATAGTAAATGAAATAAATAGAATGGGAGAAGAAAAAAAATCAAGTGAAAAAAATCAACAGAAAAAATGAAAAGAGAAAGAAAAAAATGATAGAGAGAAATAAAGCCTCAAAATGTTGATTTTTTCTTCACAAATGATGCTCACCATTATCATTGATGACCGGCATGGTTCTCATTATCTTTCAGGACATTTTTGACCCATTGGGTATCATATATTTTTCCAATATATTGATACTGCTGTTTTTAATGTTGATGATGAGTTAAAAATAAAACCACATCATCGATGATGATTATCCTTGTTTGAATCATCAACATGATAATCGACAACAACCAATCAATGGTAGTTTAATTGGCAATATGTGTATGCGATAGAGAAATAGAAGTTGATGATCCGATCATTTTCAATGATATGTAGTTCCGCTTGTTTGTCCGTATTTTCTCTACATTTGTTTACCATACAAATTTCGCAATGGATCGCATATTTAGTATTTTTTCCTTATCATTTTTTTCTAAACCACGATTATCATTATCTAATAGGTATTACAAACATTTTTAATCATTTTTTGGCACCACACACATACAGATAGAAAGAGAGAAAAATAACTGAATCACGTCGATTATTGTCCATTAATTTGGATTAAATCAGATATTTTTTCTCCTTTTTCAACTTTTTAGGTTATTTAATCTTGATTTTGATTAGAAATTTTGGTTTTTTTAATTCAATGATTCAAATCTTTTTGTATTATATTTGTATGGTTTTGGTCGGTTGGTCGATTGTTGTTAACAGATTACAAATTGTTAATTCGTGCAATTATTTATTATTACTATTAAAAAACATGATTTTAATATCATCTCAAAATGGACATCCATACATGATGATTATTAGATAAAGAAATTATACATACAATGCATAAAGATAGCATGAAAAAAATACTACATGGGTAAGTCAATGAAAATAGAAATCTAGGTGCATTCAATGAAAATGAAAACAAAAAGAAACTTTCTTTTTTTTTGTTTCGCATAAATAAAGTGAAGATGATACATTATTTTACTATTATTATGCGTGTTTCACTTTTCTTTTTTTTATTCTTAGAATAAATTATTATTCAACGCTACACACACAAGATGATGATGATAATAATAATGATGATGATTATAATGTTATTGTATAAAACAAGGGAAAGAAGTGATAATTATGTTTAGAAATAGTATCCAAATGTATCACGTGCCAGAAATCGTTTTTTGTTTTGTTTTTTTCAGCACCGGAGTAAATGCTGGTGTTTGTAAATTCCATTGATCTAGTTTTTTTTTGCTTGAAGATTTGTGTTTGGTTCAACAAAAACAAAAAAAAAACATAAAAAAATCATTAGAACATTACGTTGGCGTTTTTTTTCGTGAAAATCAATTCTACAAATATTGTAGGTAGACCACTATCATAATGATAATGATAAGAAAAACAATGGAAAACAAATATCAAATAGCAAATCATCATTATCATCATTTTAGCATTATTATCATCAGAATACTATCGTATTTGACCATCAACCAGTAAATAAAATCATTATGATTCCATTTCTATTTCTCATAGCTTTTCATTTCGATTTTTTTCTACACAATCAATAATAAAATGTAATCCATCTCAATAAAATATCAATCAAACATTTTCATATAAATATTCATCTCAGTAAAAAAATATTTATTCAATCAAATGATGTGTTTAGGACTAAAATATTGTTATTTTTTTTCATTTGCTACCTATTGTCAAAAATACCACCAAAAATATTCATCTATCATCATCAACATCAAAGATTCAAGATGATTATCAATATTTGAAACCTATTGTGTAGTGTCGGATTTCGTGTTTCGACCATTTTTTCTCTTTTTTTTTGTTTACCTAACCATTTATGTCTAAGGATACATTTCAAATGATAAATAGAAGAAACAAAAAATTTGCATTAAGTGATCGGTTAGGTGGCGATTATTTAACAAAACCTGAATGATTTGACAAACAAAAACCGACATACAATACAATCATAAAAGCATGACTAATAATCATTATCAATTGATTTGTTTTATGGAGAGAATTCTTCAATGGTTATTTTTTGATTCATTCATTTTTTCACTTTGATCATCGTGATTTGTTGTTCGATTCAAAATTTTCTTGGTTTCATCGATGGTTTGATTTGTGATAAATCAAC